CTTTCATTCGCATGGAATAATAGCAAAAGTAGTAAAATGTTTGTTTGTATGTTCACTCCTAATAAATCTAGTCCGAAAGACTTTTAACAGCTTATTAAATAAAGGCACTCGAGCCATGCTCACCGAGCCGGGCGGCGCTGGCTAGTTATCAGCCTTTATCGGCTACTAGAGACGGAATCCAAAACAGTTATCTATACTAATATTATAAATAGGTAACATTTTAAGTTTGTATGTAGGAAGTAATCTTTGGAACCAATGGTCGGATTACCAAAGTTCTTTCACTTATTGACTTAGCTACAATGTACCCGAGCAGCGAGTGAAACCGAGCGGGAGTAGCTAGTCATAATTTGGTCATAAACTTTCCTAAAACTGGTTCACAACACACTATAGATTTATATTGAAAATCTTTTTTATTTAACCCTAACCCTTTTTTATTTATAGTAGTTTACTACTTCATAATCTTTGTAGAAATAGAGAATGATACTTCGTATTCCTTCGAACGAATATTAGTCATAGTGTCGTCTAAATTTTAACTCTATACAAATTTATCCTAAATTATTATTATTAACAATTACAAGATTTAAATTGTTAAGTGGCAGCCCTAACATGCAGTGAACAACGTCGTCATAAGAAAATCATCGCCTCGTATAACACGTACGCCGCAGCTCACACCTCCGTCCAGGGTTGAACTTAGAGAAGTGCGTTTGGTGACTTTTACATAATTATATTGCACTGTTTATTTAATGCTAGCAAAATTCTTTAAAGATTTCCCAGTAACTGTTAATCTTTCAATCGACACAGAAGAACAAAAGGTGCGCGAAAGTGCGCTTTCTCTTTCGCTTTGATGAATTAAATAACTAAAGAGCTACATCAGTACCCAAACACTGACATCCCCTATTCCTGGACTTTCTATCTCGTATTAACACGCTGTATTAAAAAATCACCTTATAGTCTGTGAAACTTTTTTTAAAACATTTGTGTGTCTATTTATTTTGACATTCAAGTCCATCCCTGGCCAACAAACAAACAGTTTAATATGAAAACTGTTGTCCCCGTCACAAACAATCAGAGCCACCCTCCCTGCTTCCGTCGGTCCATTCCGATCAAACGCAAAAGCAGGAAATTGCATAAACGCTTGTAAATGTTACTTGAGTCACGATGCAGATTGCAAAAATGTTGATGGTGGTATGTGTGCAGGGGAGGCGGAGATCTCGTTTTGTTTTCTTTAAAAATTGATCGATTCCCACGTGGACGTTCGTTTTTAGTCGACTTCGTCTTAATCGACTGAAGATGAAGTGTCAAAATGTGTTACTTTGTTAAATACGTGTTAATTTTGTGTAATAATTTGGTGATATTTCACTAACATAAATGTGAAATTTTGTGAGCTAATATGCATGTATGTTTATTATTATTTCACGCAAAAACGGCTGGACCAATTTGATTGAAATTTCGTACGTAGATGGGTAATACCCTGGATGAATACATAGGCTTTTATTAACATACCACGCAGGTACAGCCGCGGGGGAAACTAGTGAATAATCTTTTAAAGTATAAATTCTAAAGTCATGCACGAGTGACGATATTAAATGAGAGAAGTACGTACTGATACGTCATCATACCCGATACTGCGATCACAACGCGTCAATTGGCATTGAAATATGAAAGAGCAGTGGCCTCTTTGTAGCGACAATAACCTTCTATCTACGCCTAATTCGATCAGTATAGTTTGTGACCTAGTTACAATCTTTACTAATACTCAAAATATAGTGTGGGAGAGCCAAGTTTCCGGTCGGCTCGACCGGAGTGATACCACGGCACAGACCACAAAAAGCCGGCGTGAAAGAACTACAGCGTTAAGTTTATCTATGAGATGACACAAATAGGTTATGGTTGAAGAAAACTTGTACGTACTACAATTTTATTGGAATATCCTCAATTATATTTAGTGGAAGCATTAAAAGGTAAACTGTTTCCTGACACATAAAAAATAATCGGTTTGTAATGAAAAATTACTCTTAGCACCTTGAAACTTATAGCTGTTGGTGATATATGTAGTAGAGCTTTATATATTATATCCTGAACATACTTATTGTAATATTAATGAATATATTATTGTAATTTGCTCGTTATTCGACGAAGATGATGAGGAGTACAACTAATGGAACGTCCACGGATCTGCAGCATGCGAACAAGGATAGAATCAGACCTGACCGTACGGCTCGTTATGTTCCGGGCCTCAAAGAGCGATCAGACCGCCTCAGATGGTGCCTACCAGGGGGTATGTCAGCTGTGGTTGTTGTGGGAGGAGAGTTTTTATTCGGTAAGTATTTGACACTCCTACTCGCCCAACCCAACGAGAGAAGTAATTTGATGATTTTACCACCTCAAAAAAGGTCAAAATGTTAGTAACAGAACTAAAGTCATGATCAATTCCAGTCTGTGCTCCAGTACTCCAAAGTGATCGATGTGCGATTGTACAATATTGAACGACCTTGTACTACGATCGATCGATCAACTAGAGCTGAAATGTTTTCATCGATCAATCGGCATCTCTCACGCGTGTTGTGTTATATAATTTATTGTCTTATTGCAATGTTTCTGATATCTAATATTCAAATATATGTCAGTGTGTAAATAAAACATCTGCCGTAGGGTAGAGAAGCACTTTCAGCAGATCTTCTAATATGGAAAATGAAACTGTGACACCGCTAAGAAGAAATGTGAAAGTTTCTGAGAATGTAAGGATATATGTATGTTTGTTATTCTGTCAAGCAAAAACGGCAGGACCGATTTGATTGAAATTTGGTATCTAGATAGGTGATGGATTAACCTAGACACTAACACATAGGCTCCTTTTTATCAACATATATAGGACGCGTGCGAAGCCGTGGGCGGAAGCTAGCGTAATATAAATAATATGTTACTTAATTACCCTTGCGGTTTACAAGGGTAAAAAGACTTGTTAAATAAATGTTAAGGTACTGTATTGCACTGGAGAAAATATTATTTCTTTGTGTGTGTATGTACTTCTATTAATATTTGACAACATAAACTTGACCCACATCAATTGATCTTGATTATTATTGCACTAATGGAAATGTGTTATTCACCACTTCTTCCGTAATATTTTACTTGATTTTTTTATGTGATTAACTAGCAAACGAGCAGACGGATTACTTGATGGTAAGCAATCAGCGCGGCCTATGGACATCCGCAACAGCATAGGAAGTATAAGTGCGTTGCCGAACTTCTGGGGATTAGGGATATGGAGAGTTACGGATTGGGCCTCCGGTTACCTTCACTCACACGGCGAAACACAACGCTGTGGTAGTTACACGCTAGGTACAATGTGCTTAAATAAGAATTAAGTACTACCTATGTTTGATCCAATTAAGTATATCAACGCCGATAATATTGGCTTGGGTAGACGCGAACTTTTTGTTTGTCTTTACATGTGTGTTTTGCTTTTTGTCTGGAGAAAATAAAATCAGGAAATTATAATTGACTATTTTCCTCAATAAGTATGCCACTTAACGTAAAAAATGACGTCACAACGTGCTATAAATTCATAAAAAAAATTATCGTCGTGTTTTTGATACATCGTAAATATATTTAATTTGACTCGCCGTAAACTACGTACCATATTGTCTTTTGATTTATTACTTTACTAATTACTATATAAGAAAGTACAAAAAGCCTAACATCATAACCATGCAACTTAAAGTTATACATTACTCCCAAGATCTACAACTGTGTTATTAAAAATATAAAAGTCAAATGTTTTAGAGTGCTAATTGGCTTGGCATTAAGGCGATCGACTCGTTTACCACATTCAGGGCTCTGATTGGCCTGATCCACGTTAACCAGGGATAAACGAGATTACGTTTCGATCGGTAACGTAAAGCAAACTCGCAATACTTTTACTACATCACCAAAGAAAGAACATTTGTATTGTAGTATTTATCCATCGTATACAATCAGCCTGTTATTTATGCCTTTGTAGTATCCAACATACTAAAAAGGGCCAGTCATTAATTTGGGCATGCATGGTTTGTTCTAGATGACGTTTCATGAACTTCTTGACGGTTTCGTAAAGACCACAATTTCGTCTCTGTATCATTTAAATTGCAAATTCAAGCTCAGTGTAAACAAAATACAGTTAGTTTTACTATGCATCATTCATACGCAGCAGTGAATCTTTCATAGGGATTTTATCATTCATCTCAAGAACTTTGACCCCAAAGCTAAAAGGTAGAGTTGTGAAGGTTCAAACTTTTATTAAAATTTTATTTTAGTCTCATGTATTGGGAAATGTTAAGAAATAGACTTTGAATAATTTGAAGTTTCACCTTTCTACGTTAAAACACTAACGCCATCTAGTATGCTTATCAGGTAATTAGAATCAAGTGTCTTTACAATATCTTGAAGTATATTTATAACGTAAATAAAGGTTTTTCTGATTCGTTTGCTTCAGTTATTAAAACCCTTATGGTTTTTTATCTTAGCATTCGGTACATTTCAATTATTGTAGTTGTAAGTTGTTTAAGAACTATGTTTATAAACAATTTGGGAATCAAACAACTTTGGAAATAAAGCTACTTAAATGTAAAGAAACAAGGAAAGGAGTCCGTGTCTTTAAAAAAATTACACGTAATCTTTAATTACCACCTAACACACGCCGAGATAATTGTGTCATTTTTTCTTCTGTGTAGACCTATATCTGGACAGACACACAGACTAAAAAGACAGATTTCACGTACCTATCGAATGGGCTAGTTTCCTCAGTCAAGCACTTACTTAAAAATTTAATTATACTTTAGTTTTCATAAATTATATACATTTTTTTAACAAATTTAAGCCTTTGGCTGTCGATGGAAAATCTTGAAGGCACATCCTCAGGATGTTTGACTAAAATAAACGCAAAAAGACGTCATAACTGTATGCTATAAGCTATTTCAAAAAATTCGTAGCTTTTAAAGACCTTAAATAAATGTACTTACGGTAGAGTGTCTCCAGAAGTGAATGAGCGAGTGTATGTCGGTGGCCGGTGCGAGAAGCATGTAGTCCCGCCATTCGTCGTAGCTGATGGTAAGGCTGCCGTCCTGGTCCATCCTGGGGACAAACTCAATGAGTGAGGGAAACAGAAGATGAAGGATGATCATGATGATTTCGTAAGCATTTTTTACAGTAAAATTTATCCTTAAAACAACGCCATAGGGCTTAAAATATTGAAGTAATAATTTCTTGTTTTATATTATGAAATTAAAACAAAACTAGTACAAACTGTCAGAACATTGTTGAAAATGTTAGTATACATGTAATTTACTGCACCGATATCAATAGACTTATTTGAAAATAGAATTGTAATCAAGGAAATAATACCATCTATATTTGTTATAGATGTTTTTAATGATAGGGGTATTCATATTAATTATTTAAAGAATTCCACTTTTAAATTACCTTAATAGTTTTGTATAGACTTTCTCTATTGTGTGTAACATATATTCTTTGAACTAACATTCAAGTGCATTTGTTTTGGTGCAATGTTTCATACAGTGCACATGCAGTGTACAAGTTCGATAGCAAATCATTCGCGACACATTTCAGCACAACAATAATATGATGACGATGGTTTCCTATTACACTATTTAAAGGATTTTTTTTATAAAAAACATTGCCCTACACTACTAGGTTTTCTACTATGTCGTGGTTGCGTTTACAAACATACAATTTTACATACACATTTCACCCAAACCCGAAACAACAATTTGTAGATAGAGAGATTGTTCAAGACCATCAGATATGTAATAATATGTATGTTTAGTTCAAAGGATATTTTATTGTAACGAGTTGTCTCATAGCTCGATAGATGGCGTTGCCCGATTTAAATTCAAGCTATGGTTTCGTTACATCGAATACTATAAGAGAGTAATTTATTTTGTTATTAGGGTTCGAATTCATAGTTCAGAATCATAGTTCAGAATCACAGTTCAGAATCATAGTTCAGATTCATAGTACAAATGAGTCCAGACCATAGTTCAAATACATAGTTCATACTTAGTTCAAATATACGAACCAGCAGTTCAAGCGTAATAAGTGGTTTAATTTCAACCTTATTATAAGCTCCATTAGATCAACAATTACTTCGGTAATTAACAGAGATAGAGAGAGAGGGAGAAAGACACACAAAGAGTTGTTCCGTGCGGAAATCGAACCCGCGACACGTTGCCCAGCCAGCGCACCAACCGCGCAGTGAATCAAACATCGTTTATTTTATTGATACCATGATTAATCGTACATTCATCATTTATTATATAAATTCGATATGCATGTCCATGTCCCATAGATATAGAAACAAAATTACAGTGTGCCTTTCAATCAATATTCTATTTTTCTATCTTTCATCGCATTCATCTATACTAAAATTATAAAGAGGTAAAATATGTAAGTACATGTGCAGGGGGTTATCTTTGGAATCGCTGGTCGGATTTCCAAAATTCATTTACTATGTATACCTACATACATTATACTTGAATTGCGTATTTGAGTCGATCCTAATTCCGGGATGAGTTACATTCATACGCATTATAAGCCGCCGCCGCAGTGTATCATATTTATATAAACATGCACGTAAGGATTTCTCCAAAGAGGTTCGCGTTGGTCTTTCTAAGGCCGCCAACGCGACATTACATTTTTTTATTATTTGTCTTAAAATATCACGCCTCAACTGTTAGACACATGTATATAGGTAGGTATGTTTAGGCTTTTATGGTATACAAAATGAATAGAGTTGGTACATTAGGCGTACTTAATGGCATGGCATTATCTGCTCGTCAACCTCTGACTAAGTGGGAAATTCATCGAAAAAGAGGCTAATGTAAAAATAATTTGTTAATGTAAGAACTTTATACCCACGTATTGCGGCCACACATTGTAGATTTAAACACTTTAGGTAATATATGATTAAGTATTTCTTTTTTGACATTTTTGGAGGAGATGAGAGGCTTGGGCGTTTTCAGAATTAAGTATGAAGCAAGGGAAGTGTTGGATACTGGTAAACCCACTCATATGGTGAAAAAACAACATATAGATACTTCTTATTAGGACTTTATGTTAGGTACAATTTTCGATTCAACTATTTGGCAAATAACAAATTGTAGATGTTGATCCAGAAACGACATTTGGAACCATCATTATTCGAGAACGAATTACAAATAAATATGGTATTTATAAGTATTATTGACTAAATGACAGTATTATATCATTGTCAACAATTATACAAATAATATTTATGAGCACTCGTATTAGTGTCAAGTTAAATAGTTATTAATGCATCATTCTAAGGCCCGAATTCACCGACACATAACCAACCGTGAAACGCGTAAGTGAACTGTCTGGTGCTTGGTTAAGTCTTTGATAATAAGATGGAGACGCCTCCTTGATCCAAAGAGGTTTATTTATTTAATATTATTCACTTGTTTATTTTTAATTAAAATAGTGTAACAGGTCATTACTTTATAAGTCATCACTTTGTCAAAGAGTTGCAGTCAACTTCATCCTTGTTCCGAATCAAATCTGTAGCTCGCTGGCATAGACAGTGCGGTCATACATACTCCTCTGTTTTATAATAAAAGCAACAAAATTTCAAAATTTTGCTCAATAATTGGGTAGCCTCCTAGGTCAAAAATAAATTATCATAAATTCGACGAAACTTAGAAAAAATAACTTAGTATTCTATTATTCATCGATCTGTCGATACCAAGCTCCTCGAGTACACAGGCGGACTGCTTTTACACGATTATACATAGATGCCTGATCCAAGTCCTCATCTGTCGATACACTACATTTTCGATATTTTTTAAGAAATAAGTAAGCTGTTTGACGCAAAAATACTACCTACGACGGACGTCGTAATTCGGAGTTTCATAATTTAATAGAAAAGTATCTTTATTGACATTTAGATAAAAGTATTGAATTTGCCTAGATGGAAACTACCATATTCAACAAAATCGATCGATTTTGTAATGGTGAACAACAAAACATCAATCCTCGTTTATATTATTATTATTATGTAATCTTTTTAACAGCCGTTTACGAGTTTTGGTTAACTTGGGCTTAAATCAAATACGGAAGCGACACAGTAGGTACTTAATAAGAAAAACCACATACCGCCATAAATAAAGAGCTTATCAAATCAATGTATTTACGTATATTCAAACGTCAGCCCTAAAGCATACACGAACTTAAAATCGATATGTTAATATTTAAAACTCTTCCGTTTCAGAGTAAATAACTAATTGAAAAGTTACTGGATTTGGGAACCTTAAAACTTGGCGTGTATGTTCCAAAATTAAGGCGATTCTCAGATAACCAAACCAACTTAATAATGTATCAAAGAATCTGTATGTAAAACTGATTTAAAAAGAGCCATTATGGAGTTTCTTGCTCGTTCTTCTCCATCGAAATCCACAGTTTGGAACAAGCTTCGCTAAGAAGACTGACCGACGGACTTTGAGAACGCCATCTTCTTTTTTTACGTTACGAACCCAATGGGACAAGTATAAAATGTGAAAACATAAGTATATTACAAATCGACATGCCGTCTCTTATTGGTATAGGCACGGAAAACAGAAGGCCAAGTTTTTCTGATTCTGACACTACTCTTTCCCTTCTCTTTTTTTTTTGATCAATCTCTTCGTGCATGGTCGTCGATCGAGGGTGCATTTAATTTGACCAAATATAAGTATTGTTTGTTTTGGTAGAACTACATTCGTCTATCACCATTTACATTTTTGCTATAAGTTACATCAATATAGTACATTAGTGTATTGGATTACCATGTAGGTAACATGGTAATATAAGTTTGTCTATGATGTGTGCTGGGTAGATGTTTCATAGGCCAGAAAGAATTTGATTTTTGCTTTTTTTATACATTTGGTAAAAGATTAGTATTGGTCAAGATAAAAACAAATTTCATTATTTAGTTTTATTATGACAAAATGACGACGCTTACTTCCAGAAATCTAAAATTATGACAGAGTTTAAATTTAGTTGAAAGTAAAGCAAGTAAGTCATCTAAAGTGTTCAATAGTCCATAACTATTCGGCAAAAAGTGTTTCTGTATTAAGAAAAATAATTAAACAACAAATAAATTAGAACAATAGTTAAATAGATGAATCATAGCTGCTGTCGAAAATGTAAAATACGTTAAAATACATACTAATAAACACATTGGGGTATAAAATTTATTGTATTTAAAAATATACAAGCTCGTACTGATTATATATATCCTACGTATCATACTAAGATTTAATTATGATTAGGTATATGTAATATCATCGAGAACAAAATTTTTAAAAGAAGAACAAATAAATTATAGAAATCGTAATGAAAAATGAATAAAGAACGTAGAATAAAAATAAGATGGCTGCTTTGAGAATAACTAAACGCGTGTGCCCGAAACATTAATGCGGAATGAGGCTAGCTAGGTCTAATTTTAGTGTTATGTAACGCATGAGCGACAGTAAACGCAGGCGCGGTACTATTTGTGAGTTTAGTGGCCCCTGAACTAATTGTACCACCGTCCTAGAACAGCAATTAGCATTTAAAATTAAAAACAAAATAAACACAAACAATTCAAAATGAACAGTAACACAATGTGAGTAAAAGCCTACCTACATTCGCGATTCATATTTACGCAGCGAAAATAAAGCAATAGTGATAATATCATGTTATTTGCCTGTGAATTCTGAACAGATTTTTCGAACAAACTGCTTGGATTAGGAATGTATAATGAAAATAGTAATGTGCGAGTCGAAACTTTAGTCCAAGCAACTTGCGTTCAAAGACATCGGGCTCAAAGTACAGCGTTGACTGAAGAAGGAAAATTCATCAAAAAACAGATCACACAAATTCACTCAATCCAATTACCCCGTCTGTCACAGGTCAGCGATATTTATATATATAATGTTTCGCAATAATTAATTAATGGCGATGGTTTGAACGTAGCGTATATTTAGCAAGTCTAAGCCACCGACTACGCGTGGTTACTCGACTTACCACCAGAACAATGGCCAACCAGCTTTTCTGAAACATTTGTTTGAATGTTCGTTTTACTTGTGTGATTCACTGACCTTTCATATTAAGAGTTTTTATTAAATCTATAAGTAAAAATAAAATAAAATGGAAATCAAATAAAAGATTAAGTATAAGACATTCGACAATCGCTATCGCAAAAATAAATTAGTAAAAAATTAATAAGACTAATAAAAATAATCGCTCAGTGCTTGGTATCGTGATAACAAGTCGCCATCACACGTAAAATCAATCTAGTAGTTGGCGTTACCTTTTCAATAAATTAGTTGCTTCGTTCCTCCCAACAGCAATGCCCATGTCAGCGAATGCCGATATAAGCTCCTCCAGATCAACTTTGCCTGGAAAGTAAATAATAATTCTTTGGTTACCAGAGTTCATTAACATTTACACACACATTGATTTCATCATCATCATCATCTGCAAGATGTCGTCTACTGCTGGACATAGGCCTCCCCAATGGCACGCCACTGAGCTCGATGTTCAGCTCTTCTCATCCAACCACTAGCAGCCATCCTGTGGATGTCGTCAGTCCACCTAGCTGGCGCTCTACACTACTACGTACATTGATTTACCGACTATTATTCGTGATCAGAATTGTTATAGAGAAAAATAAAGGTCATCAGTTTCATCTACAAAATAAACGGCCTGTATAGAACACTGACTCTAGACGTTTTGGCTTTAAAAAGATTGCGTTTTCTAATACAATTATATCCTTAAGTCAAACTAGAGAATACAGATAAAGCATTTTCTATTATCGAATAACTATTGAGCGTATCCCTTAGTACCAATCAATATACATACATCTCAACTGTCCCATTTACAACATTAATATAGATTACGTAGAAATTCTGAATCGTAGAATTGCAATTCAGACACAAAGATAAACTATGGATATCTGTGTATCTGTTGCGTGTCGAGATTTCCAAGAGAATCTTAACTAGAACGAATGTATTTTATAAACAATTCAGTCTGGATTGGAAGACATTTGTTAAAATTGTAAAGGAAAAAAATATTGGTATACTTAAAAGGATTTTGCGTATCGAAGTATTTTTACACCGTTTTTATTAGGCCGAGCGTAGGCGTATTAAACAAAATTTAGGAATCATAAGTACACACATTTTTAATTGTTGTATGATCATGAAACTTGACTATTATGCGTAGATTTGATAACCATTACCAATAAATACTATGATACCATAGCATCGAGCTGCTTTTCATGATGGAACTATAGTCAGACTTTTAATTCGATTCCTAATTTGACATTGACCACTGTCATTTTGTGAAATAATGATACCACATATAACAGTGTAGTGATGAACACAAAAATCGATAAACAATCAGTGAATCAGTTTCAGGAAGGCATTCAAAAAATTACGGCTACCGAATGGTCTAAATGTGTATCCCATGTTTTCAAAGAAGAGGAAAAATCAGTAAGCTAGATATGTTAATTGACAATAAATATCAAAGACACAATACATAATAAATGTTACATAGAGTAACGGCAATAGCGATAGCGATGACGGCGATAATTTATAAAATGTCTGTTTTATTTGTCACGTTCCTTCATGATCACATTTTTTATTAATTTCACACACAATTACAAAAGAAAAGTCTCAGATCGTTAATTAATTGTCAAAACTAAATTATCAGTTCAGAAATATTTTATTTCCTGATAAACTTAGTTTACGAGAGTAAATTTATAAACGAGAGGAATCGATTCAGAAATATTCGATTTCCATATCGAATAATTTCGCAACGTCACTATTTATTACGTGTCATAACGTTGCAACACTGAAATTGTCAAATCTGGAATGGAATTAAAATGCCGAGTATAGGTCTCATTCGCCCTACCTAATAATTAAAACTGTCTTTTCAGTTTTTTTTGAAATAAGTATAAAAATTATATTGAATTTCAGAGACGATGTAGATACCTATAGATACTAGACTTCAATATTGTTATAACTATGAAACCATACAACAGCAAACATATGTTTAGACTACGCAATCATCTGAGCCGGTCTGTGTATTCGTATAAACTAAGGCGCCGATATAGCGATACATAATCGTCTGTTAACAATGACGGTCGCCACGTATATGTATATATAGGTATGTGTTTTATGTGTATCCAGTGTCACTCGCCCCTAGACAACAATAATAATTAATTCAAGACTTCAGGAAACACGGCGCTATATGAATTATACGTGCATACCTACATGCATCTGTATATTCCATACGGATATGTGATACAGGCCTTCTAAATAATGTCTAGGTATTGTGTTTAGCAATAAATAAAAGAGAAGAGAGTTTGAATACGTAATGTACCTAAAGAGTTCGTTCGTTCACTAAATATCGATCGGTGGGCTTGTAATTTAGTACCTACATGACATAAATACCAAAACTTCTATTACACTGAGTTCTCATATTGATGTACCTAATACTAGGGTTATGCTAAATACGAGTTACATGCTTTGGTACTGATGATGCACATGTTTCCTGAAGCTATCTGGCTTTTATAATACAATGGTTTGCCTCTACTATCTCAGATCCTCACACAAATATATGGCTTATATCATTAATAATAATGCTAATTATTGTAATGCATTCTATTAATGAACGTGCGAATGTCACGAGTCGATGCTGGCAAGAGTGGCAAGACGTTTGCGAAGTTCCGAGCGCCGCTTGAATACAATAGTATTGTCCAGTCGCACAAGCGAACAGCCGCGTTTTCAATGCCCATAAATTATTAACGGTAATAGAAACCATTAGATACCTCGCTGTCTGGGTGCTACCTTGAATGAGTCTATTCCATATCATCAGAAATAATTATAATTTTACTAATGTATTACGGTTAATTTCAACAATATTTTTAGGAACCTGATTGTTATCTCTCGAAGAGGTTTTGCTAAACAAAGCCATTTTTATTGCGAAACATTAATCGTGAGTATGAATCCATACAGTAGTCGAGTGCCGAAGCCTTAGGGCGGGCGCCGTCATCTAATTTTTATAAAGACGTAAAGGTTATTGTGGCTGGCCCTCACGACCGGCTGTGCATTGCGTAAACTACTGACGTTGTACAGGAATGTCAATGTTAACGAGCACAGATAACGACTCGACTATCGTAGTATCGACAGCTTCAATCAACCTACCCTTGTTAGCTTTACGCCGACCTGAAAAGGTGATTTGCGATAGATTGTCGCTAAGTAATGAACGACCAATCACACTAATGGCAAGAAAAATATTAACTTTGTACGATAAGAGATACTTACCATCTTGATTCTTATCAAGGTGAGAGAATTGAAGCCTGAGGTTCTTCTCGTGTTCGCGCACGTAGTGCATGAATTCGGACATGGTGACGTCACCGCCATCTTTCCAGCCAGGCTTTGCCAAGAATTTCTGGAAAGTAATGACATTTAACGTTAGTATGAACGTAACTAAGTTACGTAACTATCAATAAAAACTATATGTACAATGATGATAAGCGAGACAAGTTGTTGTAGGGTATGTATCTACTAAGTATTAAAGGTATAATTTGAAACACGTCATCAGTGTTGACCCCCAATATGAACAATACAATGCATTTGAAAGTATACTTCATCAATCCATATTTAAGGTACCAACTGGCGTTTAAAATATGTTCCCTAACGCGTACCACAAAATAGTTGCGAGTGCAATAAATTTGTAGTAAAATAATTGTACAATTCATGGTGATATAGGTATAGCCTAATAAATAACAATGTGTTTATCAGCTCATCAATACGGAAGTCGCATTGCACCTATTTATGCTAATATGACTATTATTGCAAGGAAATTAGATATAGTATGGAGCACTGAAGGTCATATAGAAACTAAGCCAAGCCTATTTTTATCGGAATAGGATATTGATTGTTTGTTCATCCGTTGCTTGATTGGGGCGCGATGCTGCCGCTAACGAGATTAGTAATAATTCGATGGATGTCAAACATCTGTTAATTGTCGTACGAGAGTTGATAGGTGTTGTCAGCCTATAAAATCAGTGAGGTTACTAAGACAATAAGTTTGGTATGAATCATGGCGTGACGTCATTCTAAACGTGACACGTTCGGATGGTGAAAAGGTGTCCAAACCCCAACAGGGCAGTTTGTTGTATTTGGAAATGTAAATTAAAGCAGTATGTTGACAGACTGATTAGAAACAAGAAGATAAGCAAGCAATTTAAGCTTTGATAAAATATTTATTATTTGCCCTAGCTTTAGTACTTAGTGTATTGTATTTATTTACTATGACAATAATATTATATAGTGATTTGGTTTCAGCGGGATTTTGAACTTTTTTATAGCAAGTATTCATGTTAAATGCTTAATTGAATAAAATCTTTCTTTCCTAAATTAAAATTGTATTTATTGACTTGTGTAAATAAATGTATCTTGCAAATTAACAACCGGGAAGTACTAATTTAGTCATTAATTAATGTTTGTCATAACAATAAATGTTGATGCTTACACACACCTCTGTAAAGAGGTATTAATATTATGTACAATGTACCTAACTGTAACAAAAAAAACTATAATAAGTGGATATTATAATAAACCCACACAACATGAAAATGAGTTTAATTGCAAAAAAAAAAAATATATGAATTGTAATATATGTTATCTGTTATATCAGTGTGTCTACTGTTGTTGAAGATTGCAACAATTATTGTCCCACATTATACATAAAATGTGTTACTGCTGAGTCCAAAAGTAGGTCAGCATTGAGTGAGGTATTTGAAACCAGCATTTGCTTATAAATTTAAGGACACATTTATCATAATATTATAGAATGTAGCTACTTAATAAAATAATGTTTATTCAAAATTTTTATAAAAAAGGATAATAATATAAAACAAGTGCAGACCAGAGACATTTTTTACCATAGGTGGTCGATAAAAATTAATAAAATTAATTAAATAGTTAGGTATAAAAATAAATTAGTAGTAATCCATAGTGTTAGTATTGGTTATAGAATACAAAAAGGTATATAATACATAATTATATATTTATAAAAAAAGGTCAAGAGGACATATCTGTGAAGTTAGTACTAGTAGTAAATCATAGACATACATATACATAGATAGAAAATCTATAAGACAAATGTCACAATAGCTCTTTGAAAAACTACTTCCTCTTCTTTCAATGCTTATATTATGTTTTTATTGTCATTTAGATCATGCATGTCAAGATCAATCAGATAAGTTTATTGTAATTCATGAAATTCAAATACATCATAGACACTAGTGATGGGATTATCTATTGTCACCAAAACAAATTTTAAAATAAATCTTGACATTTGATAATTTATCAGTGATTTATTGTTAAAGTAACTTTTTTTTGACAACTCTAAAATATTAAATGCATTGTGATATAAAGTTGCATGAGTAAATGAGGGTAGCACATTTTCGTAAAAAAAATTAAACTACGTATTCTATCAATAGTTATTCTAGAAAACTATTGTACCGTTAACGAATCATAAGTTACTGGCAACTTTCATTAACAATATTAGAAAATGGAAACGAAATCTATAATGAGGTTTTATGTAATGAGAAAAGTCTAGACGAAAAATTGCGACAGATGAAGTTTTAAAACATGAAATAGTAGAATTCATGCGGCATACGTGTCGGCAGGTAACCAACCACATCGTCAGAAGGTAAAACCGTTATAGCAAAAATTATAGGAAATGTTCATTCTAACCTCTGCATAACTGCGGTTGATGTGCGGAGCCAACTCCTTGAGGGCGACGGACAGATCGTGGATGTCGATTTTTCCATTTCCATCGGTGTCTAATTTAGAAAACAATTTTTCTAGTCTTTCTTCGTCTTCTTTTGGTATTTCCTCGAGTTGCAACGGTGGATGCAATTGAACCATGGTTTCTGTAGTCAACGTAAGTACTGCTTGTTAAATAACAAGTTAATATATTTTCATATGGGTAATTAAAGGCGTACATAACTCTAAACTAAACTATTAACGTAATAGAAATCATTTTTGTCGGAAAAAGTGAACTCGTCTTTCATCCACTAGTTATTTGACAGCTACTCGCTGCCGCACTGCCGCACACAGACGCACACTCACACATGCACAAGAGTGAAATACTTGCAAACCGCGCGGTCTTCTCTATCGGCGTCCTACAATTTGACAATAGAACTTTATATTACAAGCGAATACTTTATTACGAGCCTTATGTCTAGAGTTTTAAGAAACTACTAGCTGCAAAAAAGTTTCTTAGTGTCATCATTCATGTTGCTCTATTTTAGATGTCTAAAATTAGCTTCAGCGCCATCTGTGTGGTTTCAATTAAATTATTTACTACTAAGAAAAATCTTTAGTTTCAAATAAAACGAAATTCAATTTTATTATAATTTCACAATTGGTGTGTTAATTTTTATATTATTACAAAGTCATCTAATCTATTATAAAAAATTATTCGTATTTATAAAATGTATTATACATTAAGTGTAAGTATCTTTAAATGAAACTCAGATTACACTGAGAAATAACATATAAATTGAGGCACTTTTTATTTGTAAGTGTACAGTAAAATTGTATTTTTTGTTAATTATAAAACAAACAATAATATTCAGAAAATTAACGTATTATAATGTGGCAATACCATAAATTAACTGTTTAGAATTCAGGTAATTAAAGAAACGAATCTAAATTAAAAGTTTATAAATTAGTATTTTATTGTAATAATCAAAGTTCAATACAAACTAATGTTTTAATAAAAATATAAAACTTCATAAAAAGTAACTTTTATAAAAGTAGGTCGAAATTAGAGTAATTTATCAGCAAAAATACAGATGTCGGTAATATCAGTCCTTGACAGTTAATGTACTTCATTAGTGTAATCATAGATGGCGCTTTTACACGAAACGAAGTAAGTTCTTTTTTATGAGGGATTATCGTTAAATTGCTACAGTTGACTTGATTGTGACAATGGGAGGGGTGAGATGAGTTTCAAACTCTCTCTGATAAAACCAAGCTCGGGAACATCATGACCCTTGTACTCATAATGTAGGTATGCTATTTTCATTCTGTTGCACGTGGGTACCTTTTTGTAATGCTAAACTTTTCACAAACTATGTATGTGTACCTATAGGTAAGTATCGATATCGCCTAATAAAGTTCATGTTAAAATATGCCTAATAGAATCGAAGTAAAAAGAAATGAAATTCGTACATTAGTAATTGCCGTATGAGTGAAATACTAACATGAATAAAGAACTATGTTCAGAACATCGTAGGTAGTTAGTACCTATTAAATAAGATAAAAAGAAAGTAAAATTTTACTATCAATATTATTAACTAAATATTTTTTTCCCTTTTGAATCACCGTGCAGTAGTGAGTTGTTGAAATAAATAATTAGTTAAATAGGAGTTAATTATTTTTTCGAGGTTTTTAGACAATAAGGTACCACAGACAATATTTTTTCAGACAAGACTGGTCACGAAGACTACGTTTGGCGCGGGAGCTGGGAACTGGCTGCCGCGCGACGCGCCGCCGGTACGATTCCGCATGAACAACTCTTTGTGTGATCCACAAATTGTGGTTCCGGGTCTGGGTGTGATGTGTATGTCAAATGGTATGATTGTAAACGCACCCACGACACGAGAAAATCCTAAAGTGGGACAACGTTAGACAACGAAACGCGAAAAGCGAAAAGCGAACGCTGGTATTCGCGTATCTTTTTTTTTTGTAAGGGGAAAATCATTAAATGACTTCTCCCGCCCAGGGTAAGGCGAGAGAGAGTGTCAGACTCTTACTGACTAAAAATCTCCCTTTCCTTCTCCCGCTCTGGGCCGAGGCCGCGGTGCCTCATTGCGCTTAACCCGCAACCCCGGCAGAACATCAGTCAGTCTGTACTGGTCTATTGGCTCTTTGAGGTGCGTGCGAAACGCTACGAGCCGTACGCTCGGGTCTGGTTCCAGTCGGGCGGCGAGCTACCCTTACTCGTCGTCCGCAGACCCGCACTTACCCACTCATCTTTGACTCATCTCTCGATCCCCGACGCCTGGAATCTCGCCTACAGCGGCGGCTAGGGTGCGAGGAGGATAGTTCCCTCACGCGCTCCGCCCCCTCCTATGCGAGCATCATTGCTTCGCAGAAAGAGGAGACGGCTTCCCAGTTCCCCTCGCTACGAACCGTGGCCTCGACTAAGGCTGGCGCGAGAGGTTGCCGCCGCTGATCACTTCCCCGAGGACACGGCGGTGCTCTGCCCAAGCAGGGCACTCCGCCACCGTATGCTCCACCGTGTCATCTAGGTGGTCCTCACAATGACGACATTCGGGTGTTTCCTCCCGTTGGATCCGAAACAGGAACCTACCAAAGCTGCCGTGCCCGGTAAGCACCTGCATCAGGCGGAAAGTGAGGACGCCGTGGCGTCTCCCAAGCTAGGTACTCCTCAAGAGGGGTCTTACCGCTGCTATAACAGCGTGCCCGGCCCTCGGTTGCGACAGTTCTTGCTTCCACTCAGCCATTAGATACACAAACTGTAGACGCGCTCGAGCGCCTTCGCTTCCAGATCCCACGGTGGTGATCCGGCAAGGAGGTATATCCGGATAGCTATGACCCTCTGCGACCAGCAGGCCGCCGCCCACACAGGGGCCCCGTAGAGGGCCATGGATCGCACAATCCCCACATACAACCTCTGGCAGGAGGCGTTTGCCTCCTTCCCCCCCCCCCCCCACCAAAAATATACTGTAACAATTTTATTTATTTTTATGATGTTATAAACAATGGAATTTTAAGAAAAATGGTGTAGATAGGTTACCTAAACAAAATTTGATTTTCAAAAACGACACACATGAACAATTCGTATGTATGTTTAGACGTCAAAGTGAGATAGCATGATTCAATAATCGCAAGTGAAAAAGAGACAAATATGAAAAAAGTGTGCCACAATTTTTAATGTATCACTTGCTGAGCGCTTGTAAAAGCTATCTACACCTTTTTACTTATTATATCATTGGTTATAAACGATATTGAACTCTTTGATAAAAGATAACAAAACTAAGATTTCATCGATTATATTTAATGTCAAATGTCATTGTGTCACATTGCTGTACTATAAAGTGTCAAAGTCAAACTATGTTTTTCATTTTATTTGTTTATCCCTATTTCTACCTTTTCTTTACTTAATAAACCTAATACCTATAGGTTTTGATTACAGTTTTACGATACTTCCGGGTCTACATCAAACAATTGGACTATTTTTGTTGTGTGCTGTTATAGTGAAATTATATTACGTCTACGTTGATTTCAAATGGATGATAAACAATATCTCATGCTGTGTAAACTGTGCTACGTTATTATCGCTTCCACTGCCTAATCACCAAATAAGAGGAGCAACAGATTCTATGGTTAATCTTTTCAATATATGAATTTGATCATATTGACATACCTGCTCAATTCGCGGACGATGTGTTTTATAAACATAATAATGCTGAAAGAGTTTAATATAAAGAGTATTAAGTTAACTTCGCTTTTTTATTACCTATATCCTTTTTCCCTATTTTATTTCTGGTTATTCCGAAGTAGACATGTCCAAGAGCAACTTAGTAATAAGTTTGTGGGTTTACACTTCACAGATAATTTTGTTATAATTGTTGTATTTGTAAGATAATTTGGTGATAGCTGAATTTGAACACATATTCTAGTAAATCTAGCTTCAGAATAAAAATGTAAACCTGAATAATTTTCAAAACGATATTGTTTTGACAGCTAATATAACCCCAAATAATATCCTGAGTAAGTAATGTATTTTGAAAAAACCCCGCAAACCTCCGCAATGCCCCGTCCGTGGGCAGCGCTAATTGCTTACCATCAGGTAATAGGAGAGATGGTTTGCCGTCCTATCACATAAAAAAAATTGCTACATGAAAACTATGTTAAAATACTAACCTACAATTATATTATAAGTAAAAAGGTTTTACACCATTTTACTTGTAATACATTGTTTACCTACTTAGGTTAAAGTCAAATCATTGATTTCAGATATACCAACATGACAAACTTTTGAATGTCGAACAAAATAGTAGGTAGGTATTTAGAGTTAAAAACAATCAGTGAAGCTGTGTAGCACGTTAAGAAATTAGGTTTACTAAAGTGTTTTTCAAAGAGAAAATTACTAATACCGACCTATTCAATAGAATTGGATGGATTCCACATCTGGTCGAAGATTTTTGTTACTTTCTCGACTGCTAAACTTTATCAAATTTTAATCTAAAATCAGATCAGAACTTATGAACCGTTGTAAGGTAAAGCAGAAAACATCTGCCTATGACATATTAAAGGACACGGAAGCATTATCTCCTCCTTTCACTGTCTATTGAGGTTCAAACGCTAAACGTTCCAGGAATCGCACGTGAATAGTAATGCAATATTTACATAATTATGAAGTACGATCTCACTCGGTTTATTATGTAGTAACCCACCGAGTCAAAAAAGTGACTCATAAAATTGGTTACAAGATATTTTGGGGCGCATTAACTGACGACAATAAGTCACATTCAGAAATATTGTCACGTCCCTCACGGTGACACACACATAAACCACTGCCACCCTATTATACTTCATTAAATTCACTCTATAACAACCATATTTTCCTAAGTAGGTCTTTTATTTCGACATTATTCCATTCTCCATCTCATTCTCAAATCGTAACGCGCCCCTGTGGGAAAGAGACGCACAAACAAATTTGTCAAAAACCGTAGCAACTGTCATCGGGTTTCAACCAATAAATCCGTAAGGATGGGATAGCTATTATGTCTGATATGACAATACACAGATTGACGCGACCGAAATCTATAAACTTTAAAAGTTAATACGTGCCTGTTGCACACATTTGCCAAAAGAATTCAAACTTAAATGTATGGTCTAAAGAGTTCAAAATTGGAGGATTGCTAATAAATTCGCAGGTAATAGTAAATTAAACTCTAAACGCGTCTGTTAGAGTTGTATTTCGCAATGACAGTGACGCTTTTGTTGATGGGATGAGCCCACAAAAAATCCTCAATAGAAAGTGAACAAAAGCTCATAAAAGTTTGAGTTTAATCGGGGATTTGTGCACAATAATACACACACATGCCGCTGACGTAGTGTAGTTTGACTGTTTGTCCGTCATTTTGTTAAGGGGGCACATCATTATTATTGATTTACTTTAGTTCCCGGTTTTGGGAAGTATCTTTTTTTCGAAACAACTTCCTAAGTCTCACCTGACATGTTAGTTATCTACGCATTTTTAGCATTATTGAATTATTTGAAAGGTAATCTAGGTCCAAATGCGATAGGTATCTAGTGATGAAGCACGCGCGCAGCTAGCCTTCGGAAATTCAAATTTCATTTATCACAGAGTATGAAAAGACGCGATGAGACAGATCTGGTTGGCACACATTAAAGAGAGTGACAGTTTAGTATTCTAGTTTGGAAAAGCTGCTTTTTTGACCATAGTACTTATTTGGTGTATTTGTAGCATTATACTCGTAAATTAATCAATGAAAGCACCCAAACATCGACATAGCCTAACTTTAATAATATGTCCATCTATGACAGTGAGTGAGTAGAATAGTGATCAAAAGATCTTATAAACCAAAATTTTCTTAACTCAACCGAGTCTATTATCTCCTTCAAATATAAGTATGTGATCTACTTGCTCTCAATTATTAAATTACTAGATTTTGCCCGCCACTCCGTTCGCGTGGAATAGTGACTGCCTGCAGATTTTTGGTATGAAAACTATCCTATGTCCTTTCTCGAGTCTAAACTATGTCTGTACCAAATTTTACAGAAATCGGTTCAGTAGTTTAGGCGTGAAGAAAAGACAGACAGACAGACATACAGAGTTACTGTTGCATCTATAATATTAGTATGCATATAAATAACTATGAGCGAATTTATCATGAAGTATCTAAACTGATTCTTCTGTAATAAACAGTGCATATTACACAAAGGGTAATTTTTTTTAAAGTAAATATCGTGAAACATACAATTTTTCTTTAAATAACGACACGTGATTTAACTGAGAAAAGCTATCCTAGTTTCATATCGTTCGAGTTAATTTGCTTTTCGTAGTTTCACTTAAAACTTATCAGTGATGAAATTCTTTAATATTCTAGGTTATGACATGGTTTTAGTGAGATCAGCAGTACCTAAAAATACCTCAAGGAGTTTTCTGCTATACCCGTGGATTAGTTCAGTAAAAAGTAGGGGTATCCATCTGGCACGTTGTTGCAACTGAGCTATTGGGTGCTGGGCGAAAGGCAGATATTCTTTTTGAGACTGAACTTATCAAATGTCTTCTCCCGCCCAGGATGGGAGGGGAGGGGGTGTCAGACTCTTACTGACTAAAAACCCCCCGTTCCTTCTCCTGCTCTAGGCCGAGGCCTCGGTAACTTATTACGCATTTTCTTCCGTCCATCCTTATATCCCTATGTCGATGTAAACTTACGATGTTTAGTTAGATATACTTCCGGAATAGGACATAGGCTACTTTTTATCAACACACCACGCGGGCGGAGCCGCTGGCGGAAGCTAGTGAATTATATCTGTCTATTTTTAAATATAATTCTAAAATGAGAACACATTCGTAATAGACATTTAATATATTTAAAGCTTCACATTTAGAAATATTATGTACAATAGTAACACTTAGATACAAGAATACACTAGATTATACATTAATTAGTAATAATTGGATAGTTATAATATTATCTGTATACTATCATGTCAATGAATCAGTATTTCATTTAGAGTAAAATTTGCCTAAAAATTAGGTACTTATAGATATTAGTGGCATTTAGATGAGTTGGGGAAAGCTTTCTAACTATTGAAAGTTGAAAGGGACACAACGACATCCATCCGACCAACAGGGCCGACAACCATATTTGAAGGTAAGATCAAGGACCTGATGCAGAAGTCAGTTCTCTTTGAATAAACATGCATTGTGAAGACGTTTCCGTCTCTGGAACCCTAATCACCCTTAGCCTGCTTTATACTCCCGAATAGAGTCACATTTATTTTATTAACGGCTGATTTTTCTAGTCAGATAAATTTTATCTGAGGAATAAAATTGTTGCTGTCACTGTCTTATACAAACATTCTGACGCGACAGCATCATAATTATTCCCCAGGTAACTTTTATGCAATAATTGAAAAATCAGCTCTAAGTATGACATTAACAATTTTTATTCTATAATTATTTAAATAAATGTATGATATATAAGATTGGACATCTTCGTAAATATTCCAGTTACAATTCTATATAGGATTATAATAGGTACAATGAAGTTATTACATTAATTGGTAAGCATATCACTACGTTACATATACAATTTACAAAGGAATAATTATTATTTAAAATTCTGTTATCAATACATTTCTACACAATAAGCTATCTTCTTATCCCCTTATTATAAAACAAGATTTATATTTAGTCCAGCTTTAAACCGTTGAGTTAGGTTTCGAATTTTGAATTTGGTTCTAACTTCAATCCTTCAATTCGAAATACAAAAGCTGGCTCAACGGTTAATGGTTTAGACCTAGACTAAAGAATAACCTTGTTTTGTGATAAGGTAATTGTTTTTTAAGAAAATTTTAAATTTTGACTAGAATTTTCTTTCGTTTGTGACTTCGAATATTATCTAGTTTTTTTTCTGTTTTGTGTACCTACATAATTATGTAAGTAGGTATAATTTTAAGAGATGAGATGTAAAATTCAGATTTTACTCTGTTAAAACCAGTCAAATACTTCATCAAGAAGTATTCATCTTAGTGGAAACATTACCTGTTAATAATGCGCATGGAATATTGACAAATGAAGAAACTACCATTAATAAACACCGATACTAAGACCGTTCTTTTTTCAAATTACTGTTGACGCTACCTAGTAATAAGACAGAATATTTGAATTAAGAACGAGTAAATGTTTAAAATTCAATGCTCCATTTTTTTGTTTTTATTTTTTTTTGTATTAGTTTTTCAATGTGTATTGTATAAAAACAATAAATATATAAATCCAGAGCCTTTACAACAATCGGTTGCAACATATTAGTCAAAATTATGTGTGTCAAGTTTCACGTCATTTACTTTTAAACGTAAATTGCATAGTAAAACTTTTCATCTAATTTAAACGAAATGTAGTTAAGTACCAACACTATGATCGGATCCCGACATACACACTAAGTACTTAATAACAAATACTGTAACCAAAATGTACAACATATATACACGTAGATATGTTGTATATTTGTTCTAAATGGTCTGTGGAATGGACAATTACATAATTATCTTCATATCCAAACTATTATTATAAATGCGAAAAATAACTCTGTTTGTCTGTCTGTCATTTCTTCATGGCTAAACTACAGAACCGATTTTTTTGAAATTTGGTACCGAAATACTTTCGAAGTCGAGAAAGGACATAGGATAGTTTTAATACCAAAAATCTGCAGAAAGTCACTATTCTACTAAACGGGCAAAAGCTAGTATTCAATATTTTATAAGCACGTGTATACATTGAGAAAAGCTCTACTAGTTTCGAACCACAGAGGGGTTCTTCCTCATGAGCAGCGTGACTTACGTAACAAAACAATAACAAATCCATTTTATTCCCTCTCTGCTCCTGACTGGGGCCGATCAAATACCTAAGTTATTTAATAATACGAAGTGAAACTATGATAGCGAAGCTGGTAAAGAAATTAAATAAACCGTTTACAGAACAATATTCAAATTTGGATAGATACTAACTAAGTAATTACGTCACCGATCATTAAATAATGATCCTACACACACTCCCATATCGATAACAACACTGTTTTCTCTCATCATTAATACTGCGATAATGTTCATGCACTTTTAAATGTCTTTTTTGGGTGGCAACAATAAGCCGGAATGTAATATAAATATAAAAGACCTTTATATACAAACATCAATAGCAAATAGTGTTGGTAAGCTTATAATTCAACAACGCTTGGACAAGGATAAGAGACCCATACGGTCATTAGAAACGGTTTTTGGTACATACGACACTATTAAATATTCAAACGTAGGTATATAAAATCAGGTTCGAAATGTTATCCCAACAATAGACTACAATCCTCAGACAATTAGCGACCGATTATAGAGAGACATAAAGCACAAAGCACTATAACGTACTTAATAAATAGCAACGAAATTTGATATGGAAACAATTAATTTAAATACAATTTACAATTAAGTATAGGTATGATAAATACATTTTAGATTTTATGTGATATAAACAAACAACATCAGACCAGCTCTTTTATAATAGCGTAATCATTAAACAGCTCTTCCATTAGTGTACATATCGGCTAAGATACGTTCTATCGGGATGTCGCCAACGGTAGCCCTGAAGAATAGCTCGACGATGGTAAAGCTTGGCACGTTCCTGATGATGGGAATCAGGCCCATGAGCCGGCTCGACCTGCGCAGCTGCAGTGGATATACCCGGAGGCAATACTGTAAACAAATTGTTGATGTTAAGGAAAAACGTCTACAGACTTTAGACTTAAAAAGAATCATTGAAAAGGTTTCGTAATTTGTTGGCTATGAAAGTAGTAGTAGGCTTACCTCATTCAACATGAGCGTTGAGTGTTCCTCGAGAAGAGCGACTGCAGCCACGTCCTGCAGTTTCTTGTTCTCCGAGCTGGTGCGGTTGGGACTGCTGTCACCTTCCTTGTCTAGGCGACTATTGAACAGCATTATGGCCCGGAGACAAGCATATTCATTCGCGTCCGGATTCAATTTCGAAATTTCTTCTAATGATTTTTCAAAGATATCAATTTCTTTTTTATTAACTACAATTGAAATATTCCTATCTACTAGCATGTTTAAATCCATGGGGTGAAGAAATTGAGCAGCCCCTAGAATGAAGAGATTTTTCCAAGAGTTTTCTAGAAGGGCAAGTCGATCTTCCATGGAGAGGTTGGCGAATGCAGGGATATTGCGAGACCACTTCACGTTCATAAATAGCAGCCTTGCCGCTGATTCACAGATCGTTGATGGGTCGCTGGGCCTGAACATCGCCGGGTTTAACATAGGTGGTGATGGCGGCATCGCTAGCATTGAGGTAACTGGAGTATTAAATATCCCCATTGGTGGGTAATTATAAGGGTTGTATAGTGGAACTGGTGGCGGCGCTACCAAGTTATGCTTTGGTAAGGCTAGGTTCAACGGAGGAGGTCCCGGCACAGGCACTTCGGAGCCTGGCGGTGGGTCTTTTAGAAATAGTGCCATTTGGCGCCGTATGGTGGAATTTCGAGGACCCCTTTCATGTTGGACAGCTGGAATGAAAACCATATTTTTATAATACTGTTTTAGGATTTATTTAAGTAATGCTTGTTGCTGTTTTAGTGAGATATTTACCATTTTTATTCATGCCGACCTGTAGACATTTATCTAAGCGGCATGCGCGGCATTGGTTTCTATGAGCTTTGTCGACAAGGCAACCGCCAGGGTTGCGAGCCTTGCAGGAGTAGCGTCGGTCCCGTCGCACGGATCGCTTGAAGAAGCCCGCGCAACCATCGCAAGCAAACACACCGTAGTGCTTGCCTGAGGAATGGTCGGAACACACCGCGCATGGCACGTCGTACAGTATACGACCTGGTGAAACAAACAATATACATATGCAATCTTTATTATGACATACACACATCTATATCCATATTATTATGTAGTTTACGTAGGTTAGTATGTTTATTAATTTATGTAGTTATATTTCCATATTTTTTACCCTCTACAATAACAAGACACATACAGAAATCTCGAACAATATGATTGCAGACGACCTATGTGGTGCTGTAGTTTACCATGCATTTCTATTGGTTAATATTTATGTTCTTTCAAACTGCACGCTCTCTCTGCTTCTTTGGATAGGCAGCCGTAAACTAATAAATCAAAGCGAGCTGACAGCATAGCGTCGCCCGTCGAGTCAGCCGCAAGCCGTGCTACAACCGGCCCCGGCTTATGGCCCCGCCCCCTGGGCCAGGGGTTTGCCAGCAGTATTTTACACAAATCGTAAATTTGATACAGTGTCTGTCAAGCGATGGGATTACATTCCAGAATTGAACTAAGTTTTTATATTATAGGTTAAGTGGTAGATGTAAGACAATTCAATCTACTATTGAAGTTTATCAAATGTATTTAAATTACTTGGTAATTAATCCATCGAACCACAATTATTAGATACTTCGGATTTATACAAAATACACTTTACAAGAAATCTACCTACGCTTCTAGAATAGAAAATCGAATCGTCAGCAGTTACATGCGATCGGTCTTGTAACAAGGTTTTATATGATAAGTTTCTCACTATAAACACGCTTGTTATCTCGTTAGTAACTTTATCACATGCACTCAGAGTAATAACTTGCTACGCTTCATATGAGAGACGCTACGAGCTGCGCTACGAGTCTTGCTACGCTAAGCGGCGACAATGGCTACGTTGTCTACGCAATTCGCTTGAGTGGGCGAGGCTCTCTCGAAGATGTGATTTATCAGAAAACTATATTTTATTAAATACGTGAAGAACACTGTTGGGTTTAATCTCTGGTTGAGTGATTCTTACTCGAAAAACAATCCGAGCCTGCCACTCACTTGGCCGATCCCAAATAGTACAAACTTCTATTAATTAATACCTACAAATCGGCATTGTCTCAAATCACTAATCATAAATTTAGGTACTGAAAGTCATACGAAATTAATTATGTATGTATTGATCTTAGGTGATATTAAGTTCGTATGGACCCCGAGAATAGTTTCTTTATGTTTGTATTTTTTTTTCGTAAATGTCAATAACTATGTATCGTAATGCGACTACCGAGTTAGGGCTTTCGGATTAAATTTCCGGTAAAAAAAGTTATACATACTATTAAGAAAAAAATCTCGAATCCATTGTACCTAATTAAGATAATTGGTGAAAAGCGAGTACCTATATGTAATGAAAATACATATAAAACGAATTATTATTTCGTATGTAAACATTTAGTATTAAGGTGCACGTAATTTATCGTTCATTGAGTGAAGAGCAATGATTGCAGTGTCAAAATATTGTCGGACATGAGTTGAAGACAGCCTGTGAATGAATGAATGAATGAATAGAGGGCCGTCGATGTCGGTAGCATTCGGCCGTGGTATTCATTGGGCTTTTATAAAAACTTCGGACGGTACCACGAATCGCTTGTTATTTGAGACAAATTGATTGTGGGTTCCGCACTTCGGAGACTTAATAAATTATACGTTTATTTGATAAAATGCTGTGAATTACACATAAATTCGTTTCTTTCACCGTATTGACGATTGATATTCTAACTATGATGATCTGACTTTCAAACTAAAACATACCAAATTAATGGCGAAAATTAATTACGAAAGATAGTAGAAAAGATTTCCAAGTAAGATGTTTTCCATTCATCTATACAAATATTATAAAGAGGTATAACTTGTAAGTTTGTCCATGGGGGTAATCTTTGGAACCGCTGGTCGGATTGCCAAAATTCTTTCACTGGTATATATAGCTACAACAGGTATACCTATAACAAAATAAACTGATCGGTAGTTTTATAATGTTTTTTTTCTTAACGTGTAAAACAACCTTTATTTCGTGTATAGTGATCACGGTACTCTAATATCAATACAAAACGTAGTCTGATCCCACGGCCGGGAAGATAAGACCCTTATATTGTCGGCCCAAAGCGAACAGTCAAAAAGGCATAAAGGCAAAGTGAATAAGAGATTCCACATTGAATGCGTGAATACACTTGCGATACAGGAAACGCGGTGTCGAGTGTTCCCTAAGAAATGCTAAACAAAACGTAAAGGAGAGCTGGAACAATATCGCCCAGATAGATAATTACAGGTTCCAGTTTAAAGACAACTTAATATTATTATAAAAGTTCTTCACAATGCGAACACCGCCTGTGTTTTTTCTTACTCTACTTGTCGTTCTCACTACTGTGTGCATGTGTGAGTGAGTACGTTCTTACACAAATATACGATTAAAAAAAACTTTTAAATAAAATTAAAAAGTTCGTTGGAACGTGAACCTACTACCTTTACTACATCGAGCGTGGAAACGCTGCAAATATTTACAACCAGCAGACAAAAGATTTTCATTAAATTGTTGTTCAGTTTAAAATTGAGAATCGAATTTAATTTATTTTTTCTTTTTCATTGTTACTTAATTGGCATGTGAAACAATACGGCGATTTTCAACGAGTCAAATTCACACACACACAATACTTTTATCCAAACGACAAAAACGATACTCTTCTATGAAATTTGTATGAAAAACTGAGTTATGACGTCATATCATTTTTGCGTCAAATAGCTTACTTATTTTTTAATAATTAGCTAAAAAAAACTTAGTGTATCGATCGATCGATGAATAAAAGTATAGTTATTTTATAATATTTTATTGTATTGAAACATCGAATTAATTTTTTTTTTTACCTAGGAAACTACCCAATTGACTTATAGTATATACCAATATTTTTATAGCTGCTAAGTACTGTAGATATAAACAATGGTCTGGGTTTATTTATTTCAACCAATAACCAGCTTTTCCCTCGTCATGAACGGTCAACACGTAGTACAGGTTAGGTTTAATAAGCTCATCGATCGCTCGATTTTTATCAACCGTGCGAACGCCCACCTGTGTCAAATGGACCCGGCGTGTGTGATCCCATGGCGTGACTGCCGTAACTTAGGGTCAAAACAAGCGCACGATGATTATTAATCAAGGATGTTATTTAAATAACAATTTATTTGAAATATCTCGCGTATTGAGTTCCCACATCAATTTTGGTGTGACTTTTGTTGATAGTTTATGCGAACCCTACTTGTGAATATGATATGTACTTAGTCATTGTTCAAAATGGAAACTCATGATTGAATGTATTGGGATGTAAAATTTTAAAAATTTATATTTTTTAGGTACAAACTCATATCATTTTCTGTTAAGTATAGTTAGGTATATTTTATATGCTCTACTGTTATCGTAAAAAGCGTTTTAGTGAAGTTGTTTATTATAATAAAAAATATATTCTAAATTCCAAACCAAAATCAAACGGTGGATACATTTTTTATAAATAAGTTTTTAAGTAACAATTTATAATTTTATAAGATAATAAATAATTTAATTCATTATGTTTTTGTTAATTTAATTCTATAAAAACAATGAACAGTTACATTTAAAACTAACACTGGTATCACTACTGGGTCATTTCGCGTTCCACGGGGTGGGGGTGTAAGCGGCGGCAGATGCGCGAGCGCACCTCGTGGGAATAGCGCTGATGGCACAAATTGGCTGGGACACGTCATCTCATACATTGATAATTAACTACTGATGAATGTGGAGGCAAAATATAAGGCAATAAAACAATATATTAATGTCCTGTTTATTTTTCTGTTTGAAGTATTTATATTGAGGGACGGATAACGGTTATTTAATACTAAGCAGACGCATGTGTGTATCAATTCGATTTGTACCTAAACTAAATTATTTTTAATGTAAGCAAGTACTTACTTGACGAAGCCGATACAGAATGCATTGTAGGACTCGTTATTTCGTCACCATATCTGCAAAGAAAATAGTTGAATGTTTAATAAAAGATATTCGGAGTTTCAGAAACATTTTCACACAGGAACGATCGCGTGAATAATTCTCAAGTGCAAATCTTTCGCTCGCGGTTTTCAAGAGCACTCGACACTCAATGCAAAGAAAGGAATCAATCAAGAATAGCAACAAATGTAAGAAAACTAAAGTTCTATTGTAATTTGGCTCTGTGGCTGACATCTTTTGGTCACAAAGCTGAGAGGTACTCATATTTTTGTTCATTATTTGTATTGTTCTAGTAGCCACTTTGTATAAACGGCTATTGAGGAGAACCATGGAGTGCTACCGTTTGGTTTAGAACACTTACAATCATTATGCCACAATGTGCGTGTGAACGGAATTGCAATTTTATTGAGATATAGTTTATTCGCTTTTGTACAAATGAAATAATTTAATAACATTTGTTGAACAAACACTTTACAGAGCTTGAGTTTATTTTCTATTTTAAACAGGAACCTATGTAAAATAGGACCAAAAGGAACATGTTCATTACAAGAATACATTAAGTATTGAATTTATTTTTTTATTAATAGATTAGAAATTGTACTTGTAAATAAAAATCAGATAATTTAATACAAATAACAAAAAATACTGAATGGTAAAATTTGCGTAATATTCTCATTAACTGAATAAAAAGATATAGAAAAAAATACAATTTAACCAGAAGTTATTCAATAGATAAAGCTTTCTTAGAAATCAAACAATTGCAGTTTTGTTTGCATCGAAAGAACGCCTGGTCCCAAGAGTCCCAACGGACGAACAGTAGCAGTTTCTCACTCTTTTGTTTGTCGGTCACTTAGAAGTTGGATTGCATACTTTTTGCAAACGTAATTATGGACTCGCAAAACAGGTAATTAGTTTCAGATAATCCCTGTAAGTATCGGGACAAAGGATCGGATGAGCCCGGTCGAAAAGACCTGGTGCGCGCCGGAGGGTTAACAACAAAAGCGAAACCAATAATAACATCGGAAAGTCGGTAGCTTCTTGCTTTCAAAATTGAGATGGCGCAAAAAATTACTGCTAATACGTTTTTTGAATGTTTGGGACTAAATAGCGAAGAGAATTTGCAGACCGACATTTTTTTTTTGGCTTGACTTTATGCAGCTGTTGTAATAACAAACATGTCTTGTATGGGTTTATTAATCTGTAATATTTAGAGAGTAATGCTTTTTGATGGGCTGATGCGCCGCGCCGTTTCAATGGAATTCCTAACAAATTTCCAGTTTTACAAAGGGACTGTGAGATTTGCTTAAATATAATGAATGCATTAAATTTTTATACAAACATACCAGTGAGACAAAATATAGTAAGGAAATATACTTCTATTATTATAGTGACCGAATAAAAGGTACGAATGATTTCCTATTAAAAATATTCCTTAAAGTTTTCCTGCTCAGTTCCAAACCAGAAAATCAATAATTGCACTAAAACAAATCCACAAAAAACAGCGAATTGTTTTCTTAATTTAATTTAATATTCAAATTTCAAAATTTTCTGAACGAAATTACAACTATTTTATTGTTACATCAGTACGTTGGAACTAACTTTAAAAAAAAGAAACAAAACAAAAAATATTTTTAAAGAGCAGTACGCTAAACGTTATAAATAATTAAAATTAAATAAATCATTTTACAAAGTGACTTACATTGCTTTACAGGTATTCTTGTGTAATGCTAACGAATGCTGATAAGAGTCGTGTTGACGTGTTTAAAACAATTAAAAATTAAGGCAACAGGCGTGACGCTAGAGCATTAATAAGAAAACTTAACAAGTTGACAAATAAGCGAATATTAATTTCAACATTAACGGCATACAGTTATAGTTTCCTATCGCGAAATTCATTTAACGCAACCTCCAACAAATTACATTCGAGTGTTATTATTGATTAGCGATTTTAACAGGTTTTCATTATGTTGGCAACCATACACATATGTACTGTGGCTAAACTTCTTTGCTTCAAAACGGTCCTAGATACAACTTATTTGCTTTAAAATTGATTTGTGGGTGAAAAACCATAAATGATATTTGTCAAAGTTAGTTTCAGCTAAAACAATTGTTACATATTTAATTTCCTGTATCTTCAAAAACTTGCAAGACAGTCTCAGTCATTCATTTTGGTATTCCGCCATTTTATTTTAGAATTAAGTTTAGAAGTGGGCTCTTACCTTTCATGACTTACTTTTCATGACCTAATTCACTTCATGAAGTGACGCCACGCAATATTTTAAATAGACCGCACTGCAATTTTTGTTTCCGTAACAAAATTACAAAATTCGTGTCTTATAAAAAGTTTTAGTCTATCTATCTGTCATCTCTTGTATAATATATGCGGTCACTTTTCATTTTTATTTTATTGTCAATAGAGTTGGTAGGTATCAGAACATTGCCACTTACAAACAAGCATTTATTTGACACGTCATTGTCGCACGGCGCATCTTTCGTTTGTCGTGCGTTGCAGCTACAGGCCACGCGATCGCACGCGCAATCACAAAAATTATGAATATTAAAAAAACAATGTATGAGGGACACGTGAAATAGGCCCAATACTTACATCAGCATCATCAACTTATAACAGTCCCATTGATGGAAAAAGGCTTTTTACTCACATGAAGTAGTAATAAGCGCTAATCATCACGCTTGCCCAAGAAGGTTTAGTAAGTCCTACTTTTCTAACATTGTCTTTATCAAATTTCAATTGTCCAAATATAACTAAAATACGCTTATAACTTTCAAAAAATACAGAGACTTTTAGATGTAGCTCTTCTTGACGGCCATTAGGTTTATTAAACAATTTCTTTAACACCAAATTGTTACATTACGAAATACGACGAAACACAACGCTGTGATTGTTTCACGCCGAAATTCTGTGAGGCCGTAGTATCATTCCGGTCGAGCCAACCCATTCGTGCCGCAGCTTGGTTCTCCCACACTTGGTCTTTTGATTATTAGTAAAGATATGTCTATGGGGTTGTGAGGCAAAGGGTTGTGAGGATAAGGAACTGGGTGGTTTCTAGTCAGTAAGAGTCTGACACTTCATCTTGGCCCCCTGAATATCGATTCTATAAAATTTGTTTGATTTTGAATCTTGTTCGAGTGTGAAGTGACGGGGAAATTACATTATAGAATGCCACTTTTAACGTCATCTCATACTTTATCTATCAAAATGTTGCGGTCAATCGGTCAATTTATTTCAACTCGCAAGTGTAGCGCTAATGTATCACCACTACCTATATAACAGCGGATTCAGATTCGAAGTTTTGAGTTTAGAATGAAGTCTTAGAGAATCACACTGCTGGGCGGGAGAAGACCCCTCCCAAAAAGTAAATTCTCTCATTTTCAAGTTTTTACTTCTATTTCAGTTATTTTATATTGGGATGAATTCAAGAGTAAGTAGATCTGGTTTACCAAATTTACTGCAGCAGATTTGTTTCATAAGGTCTGGCTACATAAAGGTTTCACTATGTCCGTACTAAATGAACAGTATTCTAGTACATAATTCGAATATGGTTGTTATAAACTAGCTCGTACGAACGTAAATTTTGATCATATTATTATGTAATTTCGAGCGAAATTCACTCAGAAAAGTTTACTGACGGCTCCATGTACATAGGTAGTTCGATAACTATACTTAAGTAATTATGTATTACATATTCATATTAAACAGTTCCGTTTAGATTTTAGTAAGTTCTAGAGTTTAAAACCGTTTTAGTTAGCGAATTTCGAAAATTGAATTTATTAAATTATTGATCAATAAGCTGTTTTCATACAAAATTCAACTATGTTTTGCATTATTTAAAGTTTATTTTGCAGTTAGTCTGAACAGCCCCACGTGATGCCTGAACGCACCTACTTCTTAAAAGGGATAGTAACCAATAGCCTGTAGGTTGATACATATTAATTTAATTTTAATGAAGTTAAGATTATCATTATGTGAGTATCTTTAACTGGCTGCTGAAAATATTTATCGAAAACTTATGAAGAACAAAAGCATATACCAACTTATTATATCCATCCTATATAGATATATTGTACTCATATATCTATTCTAAAATCTTATTATAGGTACACAATATAAGCTAAAAATATATATATAAATAGCACTAAATTATTCTACTCTACAGATTATATTGAACATCAAACTAAATCTCTATGATTACTCGACCATCGAGACAGTGGCAAAAGTCCAGACGAGTAGCAAAATTGCTGGTTATCCTCTACTAATTCACTGAAAAAGTAAATTATACAATTGTAAAAACATACTGTTATAAAATAGTAATAGATATCGACGTAGCCGATGCTAGCTATCTTTTCTAAACTTAAATCATAGTATTTTAGTATCATTTTGATAAAAAAACAAAATAAACGTACTCAAACATACATAAATAATACTAAATACATACAAAAGTAGTCGTAAACTAAAGTTGGATAGTTAAAAAGGTAAGGTTTCTGCAAGCGCAAGTTGAAAAGTTGGTCTTCTACGTGTTAAATCACCTGGATATTTGTCAGGAAAGAGTTCATAGCCCTCGTCGTTTAAAAGTTTCTTCACATAAATATTTATCCCATACTAATACCTACATAACTCCATATATGTACTTTTTTAAAAAGGGCATCGTAACATGTAACTGCTGGCAGTTCATACTTACAGCTTTGTTCAGAATTATGTATATCTTTGTGCATTATTATTACTCTAGACTAGGAAGGTATCTGTCGTGTTATAAGTTAACATCCATACAAGTTTTGAGTACTCCATTTTTGATTGAATTGGAAAATATTGTTACTTGAATTCAACCGAGGTTGTGAAGAGAAAAAGAGCGGTCTAAAGCAGGAGATAGAACGAGATGGTTTATAGTCAGTTAGGAGTGTGACACTACCTCTCGCCCAGTCCAGGGCTAGAGAAGTGAAGAACTGATATTACCACCAAAAAAATACTTGAAT